GCACCTCGCGCTCAGCCCGCCCGCCGCCATCTTTGCTCCGCTCTCACGTGACCCTAGGCCCGCCTCCCTCCCCACGCCGGCGTCACGTGGTGTAGCACAAGCCACGCCCCCTGATACCTCCTCACTGCTGGGTCATGTGACAGGCGGCGCGGGAAGATGGCGGCGTCCTGCGAGGTGGGTGCGCGTTGGGCTCCCGGGGGCGGAGCCGCGGCTTCGCGGCGGCACCGGGAATCACCCGGGAGCGCCTCCGACACCTCCCGCGGGTGGATGTCGTTCCCAGTAGCGGAGGTTGGGTTGTGGGTGTCGGGGCTGAGGGGGACAGGAGGCGGCGGCGATCAGTGGAAGGACAGGGCGCGGGCAGCCCGCGGGTTGAGCGGAGTCCACAGCGCTGCGGCCGCGTGGGGAACAGAGGGAGCAGGCAGGGGCTGCAGCGAGGCGTGGGGCTAGCGGATGTTTGGTCACGTCAGTGGGAAGCTTCCCTGCCCTGAGCAGCCGGGATGCGGATCACGAAACGGGCAGAAAACGCTCGGTCTGGCTTGAACCGCAGCGTGATGGATGGGTCCCGTTCGATGATGAGAGCGGCAGCGCCGAGGAGCTTCCCCTTACCTGAAAGGTGTGGAGGAGGGGGTTGCGGCAGGCACAAGAAAACGAAATAACCCAGCAGTGAAATATATCGCAGTGCAGATTGTCTAAGCATTCAGAGCTGCTGCATCAGAGATCTCACCCCGGGTAGAATTCTGCATAGTCTTGCAGCCTAGCAGGGAAACTGTCACATGCCATTGATACAGGAGCTGGGGTGCAACCTTAAGGTTGCCAGACTGAGTGGGAGGACTCGGTCTTTCGTTGGTTGATGACATTTACTCTGCTGCTTCTCAAATAACCCTTCCCCCTCCCCAGTGCTCAGAAACAGCAGGGACTAGGACCCCAAAACCAGTATTAGTTGGAGGTAGATATTGCCCAGATCAGTTCTGTTTTATTGACTGTATTATTAATTCTTCTCTTGTTTAAAAATTAATTGCAATGACAAAAGATCACTTGGCCTGATGGAGCTGTGTAGCAACAGTGCCTGTAATGAAGCTGTTTGGCAATCAAATATTTCAGGCTATACGAATAAGGATGCCAAAAAGCAATCTACCAATAATTAAGTTTTCAGTACAAAGTCATAAATAACTAAATACTGCAGACACACTGTCTAAGGAAGTTTGACAGTACAAACTGTAATAGCTCCTTAGTAATACTGCTATGACTTTGTCATCTTTGTAATCTGATGTCACCATTCAACCCTGGCTGAAAACCCAAAAGAGAACCTTAAATAAACTGCTGGCTTCCATGAGGGAGCTGGTGTAGATATTGGCAATGGGCTTTGGGGAGAAGAATTTAGTAAGACTGCTGCTAATCAGCTTTAGGGTGGGCCAGAAAGGATAAAGTAACCCACTGTTTCACAACTGGATCAACCATATTTCCAACAAAAATAACGAAACTGAGACCTTCAAAGACTCCAGAAGAGGTGCCAGTGTAATCATTTACATATAGCTGATTATCAAATAATGTATCCATAGAGAAATCAAGGTTGCCATAAAGCAATAAACGCTGGTGACAAGTGCTCAATGTTGTCAGTGCCCACAATTCTTTTCAGGAGAACCTAACCTAACAGAATAAATATGCCTGTTGTTGATTATCTCAACTGTTTATCTTCCAGTCCAAAAGTTTAAAGGAAAGTTTGGTTTGCAGGGCAGCTGGCAATGGGCTGTAACCATTCATTAGAGGAGGTGAAATATGGGATTGGCTCACCTCACTGGTTTGGTTTTTTTTTAAATCATCTGTGTGTTGACATTAACAATTGGCACATAACTATCAGTTTAAATTGAGTTTAAAAACAAAATAGCTGTACAAACACTTTAGCTGTCCAAGTAGCTGCTTCAATTGCTTGCTTTACTTTTTTTTTAAATAGGAATTGCAGTAGCATGGAAGGGAATTCTTCCTAATGGACAACTGAGCAGATTGGGACTCCAGAGATTCTGCAAGCTTGAGGCAGGTCAGGCTGGAATCATGTTAAACAAACCAGTGCTGGTGGAGTCGCTGCTGGTGTTCACCATGGTGCTGTCGGTGCACGCGGTGGTGTGGGACCGGTTCTCCTGGTGCGCCGTCGCTTTGGCCGTCCAGGCCTTCTACGTCCAGTTCAAATGGGACCGGCTGCTACAGCTGGGGGGAGCCGTGTTCCAGTTCCGGGGGGCAGCCAACAGCGGCCTGCTGCCCGCCAGCATGGTCATCCCCCTGCTGGGGGTGGTGATGAAGGAGAGGTGCAGGGCTGCCGGCATTGTGTACTTCGAGCGCTTTGGCATCGTCGTGGCTTCCACGGGAATGCTGCTCGCTCTCTTCCTGTCCGTCTTAGCAGTTGGCATCACCAAACCTGTGCCAACCAACACTTGCATCCTGACTGGCATTTCTGGCAGCGTAATTATCTACACCATGAAACATTCCTTGACTGTCTCAGAAGTGATAGAGGTTCTAGAAGTGCTGCTCATTTTTGTCTACCTCAGTATGATCTTGCTGTACTTATTGCCTCGATGTTTTACTCCCGGAGAAGCGCTGCTGGTTCTTGGAGGTGTAAGTTTTGTTCTCAATCAGCTCATTAAACGTTCACTGAATGTAATCAAGGGCAGAGGGGATCCCATTGACTTCTTCCTTCTGGTGGCAGTTGTCGGAGTTGTTCTTCTTGGTCTTTTTTTCACTGTGCTCTTCATTTTCATGGATTCGGGCACGTGGATTTCCTCCATGTTTTTCCACATGATGACAGCAGTGTTAGGCTTAGGGGTCATCATGCCTTGGCTGTACCGACTGATCCACAGGAACCCTTTGTTCTGGCTGTTCCAGTTTCTGTTTCAGACACAGACAAGACTTTATCTTCTTCTGTACTGGACTTTCTTGGCTGCCTCAGCATGTGGTGTGGTTTTCTACCAGAACACCAAGAGATCATCTGAATCTAAAAAACACCAGGCCTCGACTATAACCAGGAAATATTTCCACTTCATTGTTGTAGCTACTTATGTTCCTGGACTAATTTATGACCGCCAGCTCCTCTACGTTGCTGCAGTGCTGTGTCTGGCAGTGTTTATCTTCTTAGAGTACGTTCGGTACTTCAGGATCAAACCCTTTGGACAAACCCTGAGGCATTTGCTCTCTCTCTTCTTGGATGAAAGAGACAGTGGACCTCTAATCTTGACTCATATTTATCTCCTCCTTGGCATGTCCCTCCCAGTGTGGTTGTTTCCCAGATCTTGTGCTCCTAAAGGCACCTTGCCTGGGGCAGGAGCACTGGTCCCCTACTCTGGGGTGTTGGCAGTAGGGGTAGGAGACACCATTGCCTCTGTTTTTGGCAGTACAATGGGGGAAATCAAGTGGCCAGGAACAAAAAAGACCTTTGAAGGGACAATGACAGCTATTTTTGCTCAGATCATTGCTGTGGCTCTCATTCTGATCTTTGACAGCAGTGTGAATCTGAACTCCAGCTACGCCTGGATTCTGGCATCTGTGAGTTTGGTTTCTCTTTTGGAAGCTTACACTACTCAAATTGATAATCTGCTCTTGCCTCTCTACCTCCAGATCATGCTCATGGCATAGAAGCACTTCCAGGGACAGTTTTCTCTGTTCCTGGAGCAAGGTACTAGAAAATGCACTGTAAAGAAAGCTCAAAGCTGATCTTTTGGTACAGCAGAGAAAATTGTTGAGAACAGAAATGAAATAGACTTATTTAAAATAAAGGTTTTGATTTGGTCTTGTTTTCACCCCTGTCAAAAATAGCCAGATTTATGTTCTAGCAGCAACAAACATTAACTGATAAAAACAGCACTTGTGTTTAATTATCCAATTAAAGTTTCTTCTGGGTGCCCAAGGGAAGCAGAGGAAGAGGTAAGTCAATTAGAGAGGATAAAATAAACAAGCAAGTCTCTCAGATGTTGCTACCTCTGTACTGTACCTTGTTTTCTGTACTGAGTCCTGCACCTTGTGTTTGATGTGTGAGCTCTCATTTCTGTATAACCACAATGTAAAACATGTTTGATAATGAGGGGTGGGCACAGGAACCAGGTACTAGTGTGCAGCTATGTCCAGTCCTGAGCAGCAAGAGCCAAAACCACACCATGATGTACAAACACAATTCCAAAATCAGCAGCTGCCACAGCTGAGGTATCCAGGGTGGGTGGTGAAGGTCAGACATTGCTCATTCCAGACCATGCTAATAAGAACAGTGAATCTTTAGCCCTGGTGTTTGCTTCAGCAAGAAAAATGTTTCATCTTTCTCAAGATTTAATACCGAATTTGGAATGAATATGAGGGGGGAAGTTTAGCAAAGTCACAGCTAGAACTATTTACACATTAATCCTGAAAGCAGAAAATCTGTTGAAGTCAATAAATTTTCTATTATTACACTTTCCTACTTTTCACATTTTTTCAGCCAGGTGTTTAATCAAATAATTTAAAAAATTTCTTCTATTAACAAATTGACTAAAGGTACTGAATTCCATCCATTTAATTAAAATTACAGCTACCATTTTGTGGTCAAAGAGAACACTTCTATGTATGAAACCTTCCTGTATCAGCAGTCTCTTCTCACTGGTTTGCCCAGTGTCCATTAGAACAAAACACAAGTGTCCTTGATGTGTCTAAGGAGGAGATTGTGATTCCAGGATTCTAGTTTGCATTATGAAGTTCACTTCTGGCAGTTTTTTAATTCACTTTTGGGAACAGTTTGGGGGAAGTCCAAGGTACCTTACACAACACAGTCCTGTAGCTCTGAGACCATGCCTTAGGAGGGTGCATAAGACCAGGGGTGGAGTGAAACCAGTCCCTGGGTCAGCAGAATTGGTTCCAGAATCCAATATTTTGTGCCCCTGCAACAAGCCAGGACTAGAACAGCTGAGAAGCAGCATTGCCCAATTCATCCCCCTGCCTGGGAAGGGCTCCTGGGATTTGGTGCTGCTTTTCCTGAGGATGCCAGAGTTGGCCAGAGCTGGTTATTAACACAGTAAATTGTCAGATACTCTGTAGGAAACCAAACTCAGTAACTGCTGGGCTGTTTCCTTCATGTTTAACAGGAAATCCTGCCAATCAATCCAGCTTTTTTTTAATTTTATTTATGCACTTGAAATAGATGATTTTGCATACTGCAGGTAGTGGTGCAAGTCAGGACAAATTATCCCTCCTCAGCAGAATTCTAAATTATTAACTCCTCTCATGTAAAGACACAGACAAAACTTGAGTTGCTTCTGTCACAAGCCACAGCCTTCACCACTGACATCATAAATTGCACCAGAGGTAGAGACATTTGCTTTCCTTCCACCCTGCTTCCAACTTTCAAACAAACTGTAGAAAAGGTAGTTTTTGAATACAGAAACTTTGCATTCAATGTTTCTGCTGTTGCCATGACCCAGCTCCCCAATTTACTTTTGAAAGGGATGAGTCAGTAAGATTTGGGTGCCCTCAGCAGCCTTAGGGTCACTCTGCTATAATTCCTGCATTGGTGACACTGTGCTCCTATCTCAGGGTTGCCAGAGCTGCACCAGTGCTGGTGAAATCACACCTACACAGCTCCTGTTCAGTTCAGGATACAGTCTGGGATGTAGCTTGCATTTCCAAACATTCCTTGCTAGAAGCTGGTTTGGGGATAGAAATTGGTCTTTTGCATATTTAGAGTTCCAGCTGCTCACCAGACAATTTAGCACTGTCCCCATTTGTTGGGAGAAAGTCACACTGTGTCTTCCTCAAAGAAAAGATGATGGAGATGAAAAAGAGAATTTCTATATTTTTATTTAAGTGTAAAGAGTTTGACTGAGGTTTTTTCCATCATTTCAACAGGAATCTTTAAAAATTATCATATTTTTAATCACACCCAGAGATGAAACATTTAGCTACTGTCTGCCAGGAGTATTTAGAAGATTGACTATAGATTGACTATAAAAAGCAGACCTCCTGCTTCACTTTATCCACAAGATTGCTTTAAATCACTCTTATTCCAAAAATAAGACAGAAACGTAGGGGTGAAAATCAAACTTCTCCCCTGCATGTTCACCTGCTTTGCTGGAGTCAACCAGACAAGAAATGCACTTAAGCTCTTAAACACAAGAAAATACTGAGTATCTACAAGGAGAAATACTTGGTAAGTAGTCCCAGTCAATGTGCAATGGTCTTAACTGGTTTGTTTTCAAGACTGAAGGTGTTTCCTTACCAAAAGGACTAGTGACTACTCTCATACTGGCACGGCTCCTGCTGCAGTAGAAGCTTCTGTCTACTGCAGGTGTTGGGCTGTGATAATGGCCCTGGTTTTGAGGAGGAGGATAAATGAACATTGAGAGCTGATCTAGTGAAGATTGTTTTTAAAAGATTGTGAGTGAACAATCAAAAAGGAATATTGATCAGCTATTGACTCCACAAAAGCCAGTCACTAACTTCAAGTGTAGAGCGATGGAAAAGGCAGTTCAGGAGTTGGCTGAAGCCTAGGAAGTAAAGAAGAGGTAACAGCAAAACTTCAGAGGCTATTCCAGTTCTGCAGACACAAAATCAGTGCCAGATGAGGCACTACCAACAAACTGTACAGGCAAGACAGTTATTCTAACTCTTGCACTGGAAAGGCTTCAATTTCCTCAGCCACTTGTGAGGATCACAACCTTACCAGTTCTCTTTGCTCCAGGTGGTGCCTTTGGCTTCCATCACGTGGAAGGTGAATGCGTGGCGAGAAGACTCCGAGCTGTTGAGTTCACTCTTATGGACAACCTCACCATGGATGAGGATGAGTCCACCTGTGGGAAAGAATCACCTGGACTGCTGCTTTCCAAAAGATGAGCTCTGGCTTTCCAATGGAAGGGAAAGTGCAGGGTTAAAATAGGATTTCAGCTCCCTTGTGTTTTCTCGAGCTGTGAAGCACCACATTTGGAGCTGTCTGTACCTTTACTTATAGGCAGAGGTATGAACTGCTTCTCATCGTAGGCTGGCTCTGAGCCTACAAACTCTACACATGTTGAGGCACCTGAAGCTGCACGGACCATCCTCCGGGTAATCCCATCTGCAAATCCACAGAATAAGCCAACACACGAAAATTAAACACCTGGCTACATTCTGCACAGTAAAGGAACAATATCAGTTATTTCTCTTGGCAATGATAGGAACTTTATTATTACTATTCACACTTTCCTTAGTAGTTTAGGTGGGGTCTTTTTCATTAAGTAGAGATTCAGGATTTTTCAGCTGTGGCAGAAACAGATAAAACAGCTGCCTTTTGCTTGCCTTTTTGGCCCCTTCTGTGCATTGCAACAGACCATTTGGAACACAAATGGTCACACGCTTATGCAAAACTACCCTTTGGTCCATTTGTGCTTTCTGTAGGAGCATAATCCATGAGTACAGCTGGCTCCAGGATTTGAGGAATGAGTGGCTTAAAATCTGAAGAGCACTATGATTATACTCACTGAGTGAATCTTTAGGTGAGCAGAGTTTAAAGCTGCCCTGTGTGCTCTAGGGGTGGGGAAAAGGAGAACTGTGCTGGTGACCAGCAGTGGTCACACACATGCTCTTACTGGTGTGAGAGCCAGGGATGAACCACAAACAGCCATTCTCCTGTGTGGCATCTTCCAGGGCAATCCAGAACCCCAGGATCCTGCCCAGAGGCTCCGTGTGCAGGAAGGTGGCATCTTGGTGTGGAGTCACTGCAAGAAGACACTGTCATTGGGGTCTTCAGTGGGATTCAGTTCTTCTAGAAGGACTTCAGGCTTGCATCTCCCTGACTCAGAGCCCTCCCCTGCCAACACACCTATCACACATGTTTAATCTTACATAAAAATACCAACTTTTAGGCCACTGCAAATGTAAAAACAGCTCTGTGTTTGAGCTGCATAGGATGTAACTTTTCTGAAAAAATGTGGATTTCAGAGATGGTTTGGTCCACCAAGCTGACAGGTTTAAGTCTGATTCTGAGCCCTCTCTCTGGTAACATTCCTTTGCTAAAGGAGTATTATCTGCAGTGTAATAAAGAGATAACATAAATCTCACCTTCACCACCAATGCCAGGTTGCTGCAAAGAAAAAAAAAGTGATGTGTGAAGAGTTTCACAGCTTCTCACTTAACAGACCCTTATTTCCTGAGTGTCAAGACAACTTGAATTACTGTACCTTGAAGATGTACATGCTCTGCACAACTACTGGTCTCTCAAGGCCTAGTTTTCTTCCCAGTTCCTGCAAGAAAATTTTCCAAGATTTATGTTTTCTGCACATTATTTAGCATTATTCTTTGAAGATATTTCTTTTCACTGACAAAATTGCTCCTCCTGGGAGTGTAAAAAACTAAAATTAACTACTCTGCAATTCAATTTTTTCCCTAAAACCATTCTAGGAAGCAATAACAGCTCACCTGCACCTTGGGGGAGTGGGTGATTTGCTTGAAGACAGGATCATAAGCATGTAGAGCTGAGGGGAAAGAAAAGGCTCAGACAGAAGATTTCAGGAAGAGAAGGGAACATGGCAGCTCTCAGTGATGAGCTGCAGACACCACAGCCAAGCAGAATAAATTGCAGCCAGAAACTTTCATCCCTCCCAAGATGGATAAATGTATCTTATCACACCTAAGGTGATAGGAATTTTACAGAGGGTACAATCATCATTGAAGACCATAAATATAATCACTTCCTGGGCACAAACTGGACACACGTAAAAGCCAGTGTACATCAGAGTGAATGAAATGGAACATTATGTGATTCAGTATTATATTTCACAAGTGACAACCATTATACATGACCCTGAGGCATATGGGTGAATTCATCCTTTAAAAACATACCTCAAAGACCTACCAGAAAAGTGAAGTACTGCAAAAAGGAGCTAGAGTTCATCTTTGGTGCCCTTCAGAGAGCCCCAGCCAGCAGGTCAGAGGGTTTGTGTAGACTCTTGCTACAACCCAGCTCTGAGAAATCCACAAAAAGAATCAGAGTTGTGCCTCCAGCTCATCCTGATCAGATTGCCAGAAGGACAGATGCCCAAGGCCAGCAGGAGCAGCTCTCAAGCAAGGGATGAGACTTGACCAAAATGAATAATTACAGAAAATAAGACTAGAGAGGGCTTTTGAATTGTTAAGCTGCTGTGTCAGTGAAAGTAGTTTTCACTTCCCCTGAGGAAAAGCTGAAGTGTGACAGAATGGCAGCAGGCCTGGGAAGAGGAGAGTGTTTTTCTGAGAAAACCACAGAACAAGAACACTTAGTACTGAATTTCCAATTGTAGTGAAGTTCAGTATGAACAAAGTTCACGTTTGCAGACAAAGAGAATCCTGCTCTCATTTTCCATGTGTTGTTTGAAAATGGAAGGGATCAAAATGCAAGTCCAGGAACTGGGAGAGAAGTAGGTCAAATAGACCAGTAAGGGTTAAGAAAAAGTGTTGGTGACACCACAGGAGGGAGAGGAGCTTCAACATCACCAAACCAGCATGGCACAGGACATAGGAGGGAGTATTGATTGTCACCAGTCTCAGTGGTAAACTTCTAGAGCAAATCTCTTACATAAAAGAGCCAAGGGCTGAAGTCCAAACTTTTGCATGTCAGTGACTCTGAGCTATTCATTGCTGAGAAATCTCTGAGAAGGGGTTTTTGAAAAGGTTTGGAACAGAAGATACAACAGTCTGAGAACAGACTGAGGGGCAGCATGGAGAGAATTGCAGAGACAGTACAGTGAGTAGGTCTGGAGAAATCCTCATGCCTGAAAACCACATCTCTTTCGTCCATCCCTCTCCAAATCCCATCCTTTAAACATACCATGGCCAATCTTGCTGACAGACTTCTCCTTTGGAATTAGAAAGTTACCTACAAAACAAATACCATAATTTAACGTTGTTTGAAAAGCAAGAATCATTCCTTGAACTGGAAACTGGCCCCCGATCCCTCACTCAGCCTTTTCACATTCCCTATGCATGCCTTACTCAGGCCAGGGCTTACCTTTCTCATCCAAAACACCTTTTTCAAAGAAGAATCTAATCTTGTCTCCACTGGTGAGGAAATAATCCGAGCTACCCTGCCAGGGATAAAAGCCCAGTAAAGACAGCATCCTTGTAAAAACATAAATGAACCTTCAGTCAAATTATTAATACTCACCTGCATCTTTTTTTCCACCCAGCCGCAGCATAAACAAATGAAAAATCATTCATAAAAACTTTCCACAACACTCCATGTCTTGGTGCTGATCAGGGCTTTATGAGAACCTCTCACATAGAGGTCACCCTTGCTTTTTTTTTGTTGGCTGCCTGGAAAATAACCAGTTTTCTGTCTGCAGAACGCGTACAAAGTGATCTGCGAGAGCTGCTTGTGGCTACCAGGGGTTGAAAACACGGCAGAGCCACACACTGATAAGACCCCAGGAAACATTTGCAGAAAGCTGGAGAGCAAATTCCTCTCCTGGTGTTATGTTCGGTTTGGAGGAAGAGCCATGTTCCAACAGAGTGAATGAACCCTGATCAGCAATTTGCCTTTTCCCTTCCTCTTTCCAGCTCTCCCAACAGGGACAGCCCTGCCCTTCCCAGTACCTGTGCTTGGAGCTGCTCCTCCTCCCTGGTGGAGAACGCGGTGCGGCAGTGCGGTGGCACTTCCATCTCCGCCACGATTTTCTGGATCTGGCTCCTCATATCGTCACACTCCTCTGCGCTGAAAAACTGCTCCAGGACAAGGAAGCCATCCTTGTGGAACTAGGAGGGACAAGGTGACTGCTCGTCCCCAGAGTCCTGGGGGGAAGCAGCATAAAGCAAGAGAAAACAGTTCTGGCCCTTAACACGGTAAAAAGCATCCCAGCTCCAGCTCTGCAGCATGTTCTTAATTTTTAATTTCAGGACAGCTTCTGTTGCAAAAGATTCATTAAAAGGCTGAAATTCCAAACAGTTAAGAACAATCTATTTCAATCCCTCAGTCTACACAAAACAGAGATCTCATTACTAGAGCCTTTTATGGTAGGATCTCTTATCTAACACCTGTAACCAGCAGCTATTAAACTACCAAGCCCACTAATACAAACAGGGCAGTCACACCTGTGTACCAAATCACAATGAGATTCCTTTACAATCTGGAAAGCTTTGTTCTCTCCAAGGAAAAAAAATCCCTGGGTGCTTTCTCACAGTTCACTACACAATCCTTTACAAAATAAACTCTGTTGGCAGTGAAGTCAGTTTCTTTATATAGAATACTCTGGAGATTATCCTTTGCCAGGAAGATTTCCAGTTCAGGGATGAGAGCCGAGCAGCAGAGACAGAAGCAGCACAGGAGAAATGCCTCCAAGAGCTCTGTGGCACAAGCTGCCCCTGGAAGAGTTTGTAACCATGACACTCACACACTAAAATTAATATAACACAAGATGCTGAGGAGAATATAAAGTGTTTGTAAACAACAGGTTAACTAGCAGTGACTGTATCTTACACACAGCGTCAGCTGGCTGCACTCTGCACACGCTCCCTCCCCACGGAGCAGCTCCTTACCTTCTGGATCTGATGCTGGGTTACAGATGCCATCGGGGCAGAAGCTCCCCAGATCCCACCACCAGCCCCGCGATGCCACCCGGGCTCTGCAGGACAGACTCCCCGCCTCTCCACGTCATCCTTGTCCCAGCATGTGATAAAAGCCAGCGCTGGGCTGTTGGACTCTTGCACAGCTCCAGAGATTTCTGTCCCTGCCGCCAGTTCTTTGTTCCTGGCAGGGACGTTCAGGACTGCACAGTATTCACAGTATTGCTTTGGCTCTTGGTGGTAACAAAGCACACAGAAATTTTCTCTTCAAGCGCTATCACAAACTTGATGAACATTTGAGCTCCAAGGAGGAATCGCTTTTAATTAATAACCCAGATTTAAAAATAGAGCAGTTAAACTGGTAATTGCAGGGGTAAGTAACATAAGGGGGGGGTGGGTAAAATAAGATTCAAGTGTGAAGAAAAGATCAAGATGTCTTAGAACAAATTTAAAGTGCTGATTCAGGGTCTTACAGAGCCCTTTTTGCTTAGCCAGTGAGTCTTGCCAGCACTTCAGCAAATCCCCTGAAAGGGCTCCCCAGCCCAGGAGGTGACAGACTAAAGGGTGGTAAACAGTTTTCACTGAGGGTTTGGTAAAACACATAGAGAATATTTCTGCTACTTTCATCCACAGCTGCTTTTTGGTAATTTACACCTTCACTTGCTCTGTTCACTCCCCTGCAGCTCCAGAAGTCCATGTAGTATTTACAAGTAAGTTCAGCCAAATCCACCCAAAGTTCAAACCAGAAAGCAAAAAAGCAAAAAGTGGCTCTAAAAGGCAGAGAGGGAGGAACAGTTGCCAGCCCAGCGGTGGCGCTCCCAGCCAACACATCCCTCCCATCGGGAATCCCTAGGGAAGGTTTCTCTAGAAGAAAATGCGTTTGGCTCCTACAGGAAACATCGAAAACACCCTTGCAGCAGCATTTCACAAAAATAACACCATGGGGGCAGGTTCTTGCATCACTCAGCAAAGGAAAACCCAGCAAAAGGAAAGAATGCAAAATACTCACAAAAAAAATGTGTTTATATCCTAGAAACTGAAAATTCATTTAAAGAAAGGTTGTTTGAAATACTTACATTTTCTATTCTGTAAGGGAATTGTGGATAAAAATCCCTCTGCAGTTTACTAAAACTTTTTTTTTTTTTTTAATAAAGAGGAAATTAGGGGTTTGACGTTTTTTCAAGCTTTTCCCTGTACACAGGAGGATATGAATTCAGTCGTTTAAAAAACTAAATTCTGCCAGAGACTGTAATCACTGGGCTACAAACCTGGATGGGGGGAAAAAAACAACTAGTCTCCAATACTGCAAAGCTCAAAAAAATATTCCAGTAGTTCCTCCTTCCTCTTAACAGTCTCTCACCAACTGATGGAGTGGAAGACTTTTTAAGAAAGATGTGTGACCAGTGGGGGAAAAAGCCAGCTGTACATTGCTGCCTGCAAGCTGATCGTGTGACCCACCTCACCCCTCCCTGGGAGGCAGCAATCATGGAGAAACACTCCTGGAAAACACTCCCACACCACTCCTTAGTCCCTCTCCGTCACTGTTGTGTCATGTCCTTCTCATTCCCACACACAGTGTTTTTTTCCAGCAATTTATCACGTCACCTTCTCCACTCCCCACCTTGCGCACACACGATGACTCCAGAGGCTGTTTTGGTTCATGCCACAACAGCAAACCACAGTTTTCCTGTTCCATGGAATGTTTTGAGCAACACAAACAGCAGATCACAGCAAACAATGCAGCAGCTACCAGGATAGAAATCCATCCTGGTTTCAGGAGCTTTCCATGTCTGTCCTTAGGACTCCTCCCATTCTTTGCCACTATTTTGAGGCTCAGAAAAACCTTTCCAGCAAGAGGAAAACCACTCCAACCACCCAATGCCCAAAAAAAGGCAAAGAGAAGGATGCCACTGTTGTAAAGCTTTCTCTCCCCAGTAAGTTTACATAGAAAAGTTGACAGTACTTAGACAAAACTGGGAAATGGCTTCTTTTCCTTCCCTTCCCTTCTCCCCCCTCCAAGAGCTCTTTCTGCAGACTCAACATTTTCTCCTGCCAGCTCTGCAAGAAAACTTCTGGCAAACACCATTGAAGGCTGCCAAAGTCCATCCCATGTCTTCAGGAAAGGAAAGATCAAGTGTTTCAAATGCCTTTTGGACTGGCATGATTATCCTAATGAGGATTCCCGTTGAAGCCATCTGTAACCAAGCCAGCTCAAGCAGCTCAGCACTCACACCAAAACTGCTGCTGTGGAGCTGCCAGGGTTATCAGGGAGGAAAAATTTCCACTGGACCACTTCTCCTGAAGTCTTTGATATGATCAGCAACAAGTGACAGAATATTTAATGAGAAACAAGGAGCAAAGGAAGTATGGTTTCCTTAGCTCCTCAAAGACCAGGTAAATCCTTCAAAAAGTAAACCAGCCAAAAGGAGCCGAGGTCCAGTGAGCCTTTGATGACAAGGGAGATTTTTCTTCATTCAGTCCCACATTTCATAAAAACTCATCAATAAGCAGCATTACAAACTCCCACTCACCTGTTTCAAAGCCTGCTTACGTTCTCTGTCTGAAGTGGGGCCAATGTCACTGTGGTCAAGTAGTCATGGACAAAGGAAGTGAAGGAAGGCAAAACACGAGAAATACCTTTCTACACTATAAAAGCTGCACAGAAACTCAAATTTTCTTTGCAAGTCACAGGCTGATTCTCTGTAACACATCATGAATTGGGAAAGATGCTATCTACCAGCACTTCCAGTTAAGGAACCCATGGGGAAGGCAGGTACTGAACTAATTTACCATTCTGAAGATAATTCCTATGCAACAGCCTTAAATTCAGCGACAGAAACTGTTTCAGACACTTTTTGAAGTGATAGTGAAATCCATGACACAGCCCCAGCTTGTCACAGAGCAGCACCTCTTTCTCTGTACATCTACTCAATTCACAAAGGATTGTCACAATCCACAAGGACTTTTGTAACGAGTGAAAGAACTCAAAACCACACAATAGCTGGAATTATTAACACCTGTCTTTTGAAAAGTGACATCATGGAAGGCTGAATACCTTCACACACAGGAAACACCAAAGAAAGCAGACATAGAAAGAAAATGCAAATGAAAACTTTTATTCTGGTGAAGTGTCCAGTTGTACAAGTCTTTCAGAGCGAACAAGAGCAGCCTCCAGTGCTCATGGGGAAGGTGCTGTTGCTCAGCTGCCCAAACAATCCCATGTACAAAGTGAATGTCATTATTCTGAAATGTTACACCAAGTTGCAGGTCCCAGATGCCAAACCACAGTCCTGCTTGTGCATTTACACAATGGGAGTGAACCATGTTTAAGCCATGAGTAGTGACTTATTGAAATGGACACATTTGTCAGCTGTAAAGATGACTCAGGCTCAGTAGCCCCCTTCTCATTAAACCTCCTCCAGAAAAACTCTTCCATTGTCCAATAAAATTCCTTTAAGGGAAACAGAGGGAGGAAGGAATGGAAAATTCCAGGAATCCTAAATTAAACCTTTGTGTGAACTCACACGAAGTTGACCTTTACCATTGGGGTCCAGCAATTCAAGTGCTGCTACTTCTGAAACCAGATTTTGGATATGAGATTCCTGGAGGATTTCATTCTCCCAAAGCAGCTGAATCTTAACCAACTGCCACAGCTGAAGGGAGAAGGGTCTGAATCAAACTTTAATAATCCTGCCCCATTACAGTTGTGCTTTGTACACTGCTAGAATGAGGTAGGACAGAAAACTCACTGTTTTGGCACATGCTTGGGAAAAGTACATTATCCACTGTAGCCAAACAGTGGGGTTAAAATGGAAGAAAATTTTTTAAAGTTAAGTTTAAGCAATAATTTTACTACTCAGCATCCCCACAGCCTTACCTTAGGTGACTTTCAGAGCAGGTGACTCTGCTTACAGTATGACAACGTTGTCTGGCAGTGAGAAGTCACCCCAGAAGTTAGGAAATCTCTCCATGGTTGAAAGAAAAAGAATCCAAGGGATGAGTTGGCTTCAGGCAGGCACTGCTACAAATACACTCCAGGGAGCAAGTGCCTCTGGGGAGATATTACATTAACAGATCTCTAGAGAAGGCACAGCTATTGATGAGGGGGAAAAAAAGTTACTCCTCCCTTGAAAGAGGACTAAAAAAAGTTTAAAAATCCAAAGAACTCAAATCATGTGAGTTCCATTCTAAAGCAGGAAAAGAGGTAAGGAAAGGAAACAATGTCACAGCCTAGGCATCAATACAATTTGCAACTTTTTTCCAGACAACTCATCTTCTGTAAAGGATGTGTTATTGTTCTCAAAATTCCTAGAATCAATTGTTAAAGAGAGGACAGAAAAAAAAAGGAAAAAAAAAAGAGGAGGACTTCATGTGGTTCAGCAACAGAAAGCCACTCAGTACTATTTACAGTAATGAACACCAAGAACTTTAATTAAAATGGAGCGAGCTAAATGGAGTGCATAAATGGTAATAAGAAAAAATAAAAAATGAGGTAGGATATTAAAAAGAAGTGACAATTAATATGAAAGAACAGCACATCATGAAAGATACCTGTAACAGCTATTTAACCACTCAGACTGACAGAGTAAATTACTTCCAGCTGCTGGAAGTTTGTAACCAAGCTGAATTAACTGTGGATCAAATAATAAAATCAGAAAGTGATCTGAAACAGAACAACTTCAGCTAACATTCCAGTGAATAGTGTCAGAGTACAGCACAATTTTACACATTTAATAGGTTTGGTATTCCTTGCCTTTCAGCTGATTCAAAATAATTAATTGCAACTTATCACTTTTTGGGGTCTTTAGCAGGAAAGGTAAAGTGCATGTCACTAACCTTCAGTCCTAACATGGGATGAGCATCCTTGTGTTCTCCAAGAACTTGTTCTGCTCAGAAGTGCTATTAAAGGAAACAGGTGGGTTTAATTCAAGTTGCTGTATGGTTTAGCAGCTAATAAATAATCTGGTTTGCTACTGTTTTAAAAAGCTTGTCAGGAGAACAAGACACTGACCAGGGCAGTGATTGTCTGCTTAAATTGAATGCTTTTTGTGAATGCACAGATCTGTGTCAAAAATAAACTCCCTAAGCTTCAGTCTGATGGAAACTTGAAGGACAATACAGAATATTCACAGATCAAATACTTGCAAGTGAGGATGGACTGTTGATGTAAGGACACCTCTCACAGAATGAGCAATCCAGAAAAGTTTGGGAAGTGACTTGCTCTGCTG